TTCCAATCACCCTAAAACCTAATGCCAAATTGTATGTGTGTTTCCCGACACCATCAATTTTCTACCCATGTCTTCCTCGTGATTCAGCTTTTCTAACCCCTAAAATCCACACTTGCCACCTGCAGGCCTGTCCTCGGGCAGGTGGGGCCGTTGGCGGACGAGAGGTTTGGGGGTGACGGAGTCAGGTCGCGAGCTTCTCATGCCTCCTTCCTCAAGGCCAGGCTTCCTCTGGGGGTGTCCTCGGTGTCTTCCTAATTCTGCCAATCGAGCCTGTGAATCAGCTGTTAATCCCTAACCCAGCCTCGTCCTCTCGGGGAGGAGACCCCAGAAAGGTGGCCAGCCTCGGTAGCCAGGTTGATTTCTCGTTGAGAAAACTCTCTGTGGTTGAGCCTTCTGGGACCACGCTGGTGTCACGTGGGATGGGGGACGTGTCCAGTCGGTAACCCTCTCTCCGTCTCTGTTTTGAAGGCATCACGAGCCTGCTGGCCAATGGAGTCTACTCAGCCGCGTACCCACTACACGATGTAAGTGCCCTTGGGACTTAGTGTCATTTGACTCCCAGAGTCCCTGCGGGCCATACCCCCCAGGAGCTCCAATTATCCTGTGGTCCCGGCTTTCCGCTTGGCGGTGCCCTAAATGTCAGCCTGCACAAGCCCTCCTTGTTCTCTGTGCAGGGGCCAAGGTGTCGGACACACAGCCATCTTTTCTTACAGAACCATTCCTCCAAGCTGGGGACCCGAGTGGCCCAAACTCGGCCCCAGCTTTATCTGAGCCCAGCAGTGGCTGGTCCAAGAAATGTCATCCCCGGCTCAGCCCCACCCCTCCCCGCCCAGGTTCTGGCAGAGTGGCCAGGGCTGTGGTTGGCTTTATTCCTGGCACACAAGTGGCCGGCTTCCTGAGCTGAGTCTCCAAATCCCACTGGTCTCCCCTGACAAATATAGCCCGTGCCGTGGCCACGGGTGTGCTGGCCGTGGGGGTGAAGAGAAGGATGACTCTCCTCTTGCTGTCTCTATGGAAACGGGGCTAGAGTTCAGCAGGGCGCTGGGAATGGGCTGTGGGGCCTGAGCAGTGTGGGAACCCAGTGCAGAGGATCTCTGGAACTTTCCAAAGAGGCTTTACAGGGAAGACGAGGAGCCAAGAGTCATGATAGAGAGAGGATGGGCCTGAGAGTCAGGGACCCAGATTCTAGTCCAGGCCGTTCCCTCTCACGTAGCCTTGAGTGCAGACAGCCCCTTGCTCTCTCAGAGCCTCCGTGTTTCCATCCGTGAATTGGGAGTGATTGCCAGACCCACAGTGGAAATACAGATATGGAAGGGCTTTGAGGACAAGACACTGGGTGCCGGTCTTCCATGTGGGAGACCCGGGTTCAATTCCCAGCCAGTACACCTAATGCACAGCCACCACCCGTCTGTCAGTGGAGGCTTGTGGGTTGCTGTGATGCTGAACAGGTTTCCGTGGAGCTTCAAGGTGAAGACAGACGGGGAAGAAAGGCCTGGTGATTTGCTTCTGGAAATTAGCCTATGAAAACCCTGTGCCTCCGAAACTATTGCCCTGAGATCATCTTTAAACCTTAAAACCAAAAATATCCGCTGAAGTCTTCCTAAAACCAAACAAGAGCTTAGCCTAACTAATAAAGAATGTCTGCCTTGAGCATTGTGCTCTTTTAAGAACTGTCTATATGAGATCAAATTGACAACAGC